GCACAGCCGCGCCGAGCAGCGCCCGGGCGCGGAAAGTCGGAAGTCTCGTTCGTGTTTAAAGAGAACAGATCGGCTTCGGTAATAAAAAGGATGTTTCCATTAATTGTTGCTCATATTAAAAGAGGAAGATTCCCATCTGCTCAGTGTACTCATCTGGCGCTTCTAGTTTAGAAGTTACCCTTTAATCTTGCGCTTTTTTTATTTTGTTAAGAACGGCTTTCTGAAGAGTCTGCAATAAAGAGGCGGAATGTTACGTGCAAAAATAAAACTCCTCTTTTCAGCGAAAATTGCTCTCCAAAATAATAAACACTCTATTTTGTTTCCTACACCGAGCAGATTCAGATGGAAAGAGCCCACCTCTGCTGACCCCGGGCCGGCACGGAATCGTAAATCAGGTGCTTGGACACCAACTTTCATTAATGACTTGGAGCTGGCTAAACAACTTCAGCTAAAAAAGTAATTACAAAGTAATATTATCTCAGAGGCTTCTCGGCTCATCAGCATTTACCCCGAGAACCAAGCTCCTCCGAGAGACTCTTAAAAAAAAAAAAAAAAAAAAAAAAAAAAAAAAAAAAAAAAAAAAAAAAAAAAAACCAACAAAACCAAGCAAAACAAAAACCAAACCAAACAAAACAAAAAGTGCTGCGCGGGCAGGGGAAAGAAAGCAAAGGGACGACGAGCGCTTTCTCCCTCACACTCCTCTCCTTGAACCCGCTTATTCCAGCATGGGCATCCCTCACGGACCCGTCTGGATGGGGCGTGTGGCTGGAGAGTGATTTTGTCAGTCGAGAGGGAGCACTGGGGGCCGTTTCCGAGCAGCCTGTTCTCTTTCGGTGCCGGGTGCTCGGCGCTGGGCAAGTCTCTGCTTCACCAAGGATCCGTAATCACAGCGGGTTTCAGAGAGAATAAAACGGAGAGGCAGCAAAAGGATTCGAATGTTGCTTCTCCGTTTTTATTCTCTCTGCTGACAGGCTGGATCCAGAGATATTACAGAACTTCATTAACCTGCGCGGAAGAAATGGAAGGAGCCACAGCGGGAATGAAAATATTCCAGAAGACTTTAAAACCTTCACCTTCGCAGTGATTTTAAGTCGGCCCTTAGGCTGCGGGGCTGGGATGGGAGTGGGACAGGCCTGTTCCCGGCCAAATGTCCCTCGCATCCCCCTGGCCCTGCGAGCAGAGCTCCTTTGGGCAGCGTTGACAGGCCGGTACCTCACGGGCTCCCATCCCACAGCTGTTTCTCGCTCCTTATCTCCTCCCTCAGCCCTCAGGGTAGAGCCTCAACCTTCAACTCCCTTTCCCCCGTTTCCCTCTGTGTCTTTTTTAACTTTCAGAAAACACTGACACTTTCTACGTTACTTTTGGCCCGCCACAGAGTTTCGGTGACCTTCAAAACTCAGCTCGGAGCAGGACGAGGTTTTGGCCACATTTTCCGGTGTTGCCTGACCCAAAGCTTCAGGAATGTGATAAGAAAGTTGAGTTCTGAACCGAGCTGCCGATAGTGAGGTCTCTTTAATTAGGGCGTTATCAGAACTAGGCCTGATTAAAATGTGCTGAAAATAATTGAAAGTTGTACATCTGCTGAGGAACGGGGCCCGCTGGAGGCATCCAGTTGTTGGAGGAGCCCAGCTGGATGAAAGAGGCAGGCAAACGAAAAGAGGAAAATTGGGCAGAGGTTTCAAAGCCTTAGTTTCCTACCCCCCCACCCCATCCCAGACTTGGCAGAAATGTCATCGCAGAGCCAAGGTAGCGTCTTTCCCACGGTCGGAGGAACCGTTTAAAAAAAAAATAATAATAAAAAGGAGTTCAACCTTGAGGAGAGCCAAAGCAAGAACATTTTATCCATCCACAAAAAAAAATAAAAATAAAAAAAAAAAAATAAAAAAAAAAAAGCGCAGCAGCAACAAGCAAACACCCTTTGCCGAATTTCTCCTTCCGTAGGAGCCCTCTCCCTGCCTGTCACCTAAAATAACTGCGGCTAAGCCTCAGGGCTGCACTTGGGGAAGGCAGCCCCGAGCCGAATGGACCCCCCTGCCCCACGGCGAGGCACCCGGCCTGGCCGAGCATGGGAGGGAGCCGGGACACGGTCCCCGCTCCCCGCTCTCCGCTCCCCGCTCCCCGCCACTGCGCCGTCCGCGGGCTCCTGCTAGGCCCGGATGCTCGGGGCTGCGCGAAGGGCTCGGTGCGCTCTCGGCCCGCACAGGTGCGGGTGCGGGTGCGGGTGCGTGCAGGGTGTGCGGGGGTGTGCGGGGTGTGCGGGTGCGTGCGGGAGTGTGCGGTGCCGCCGGACCCGAGCAGAGCCCAGCCTGGGCTCCGTGCGTCTGGGCCTTAAAGGCTCCGTTTCTCCTCGGGGTGGGTAAACCCGGACGTCAGGATGGCGCGGGGTCGCAGCTATTTTGTCTCTCGCTAACTCGAATTTATGTCCCTCGCCCTTCTCTCCGCTTTCTCGTCGCTATTTCCTCCCCGCGATCATAAATTCCCTCCGATGTCTAAAATCCTTTCAGATGTCTTTCAAAAGTGCCTGTCAGAGTCCCTGTCCCGGCGAGCTCTGGGCCGTTCCCTTCCCGTCCCGCAGCTGGAGCTGGGACCCCGCGGGGCACGCAGCGGCTCCGGGGCCTCGGCACGGCCGAGCCTCTCCCCAACTCCAGGGACGCTGCCGATTTTCCCAGCCGGGATTGCAGCACGGCCCGGGAACCCCGCTCTGCGGTTTCCTACGTCGCAACCCGGAGCAGGGCGAGCCCCCGGGGCAGGGGCCGGGGCTCGAAAGCAGCAGCGCGGTGGCACCGAGACCGCGACCCGGCACTGCCCGGGGGAGACCACGCTACTGAACAACCCCTGCCCCTCGCTGCAAACATCGCCCGGGCCTCGGGCCACCCCTCGGCGGCCAGCACCGAGCGCATCCCGGGCCTCGGGCCACCCCTCGGCGGCCAGCACCGAGCGCATCCCCGGCCTCGGCCTCAGCTCTGCCCCTCGCCCTGCAGCTCGAATAGCCCGGGACGGTCGGTCCCGGCCCTTCTGTGGGTACGCGATTGCCCCCGCGGGGCACAGCAATCCCAGCTGCGGGCTGGGTGCGGGGAACTCCATGCCAAAAGCAGAGAGACCTCGGGCACTCATCCCGCTCCGGCACGGCCATGCACACTCCGCCGATGCCCCGGCCCCGAGCCTTGGCTGCCCGACTCCCCTCGCTCCAATTCGCCCGAGGCCGAACAAACCACGGCACTCCGCCGCTCCGGGGCCAGCTGAAGGAGCGGGAAGGAGACCCGAAAGGTCTCTTCCAAGTTCTCCGCACGCTGGCCCCTGTTTCTTTCTTCCTCGCGTTTGCACCCGCAAATGTTTATACTGCAGGCACTGGAAGAAAAAGGATTAGATGCTGACCCCG